AGGCTCAAGGACAGCGATTTCATCCTCATCACTGAACCATCTTGCTTTCTCCTGGTTGCATGTGTATTAACCAAAATCTCTAGTCCTTAAGGAGAAATAAGCCAGATATCTGAATTTTCATCAGATCTGACACAAAGGATTAGGCTGTGATTTTTGCTGTGTGGGGCATAAATAGTCATCTTGTGTCATTTGATAATGTTGTTGTGTGTGGGTCTTTCTCACAGCATATATTAACTTTCCTTTTACACCTAGCCATTCTTTCATGAGTCATACCACCAAGATAAAATATTTTCAACGGTGGCTTTATTTTAAGTCGAGTATATTCCAATGATAAAGTCATTCAAATTTTACATAAAAAGATTTACAAGTTCCTGTGGTGATGCTCTCGAACTGCAGTCTCCCACCTCTCCTAGCCCAGCCTGGTTGATGTGTCACAGAGTTAACTGCAACCAGAGGACAAGAGGGGATGGAAAAATTACTCCCACGCACATCCCCCAGCTCCTCTTAGGGTTTTCCGTTTAAGCCCAGTTGGTGCTGTTAAGTGTAGCAGGGGAAAATCCAGTTTGCAGACCCTGGAGCGCTTCCCTGGCCAGCGCAGGGCAGCAGCAGCTGCCTTCCCCTTCAGTCAGTCAGCGGCGGTTATCTTGCTGCTTCTCCCGATGACTTCAGTCATGGTTTCTAGCCAGACTGATTCCTCACGTGGTTTTGCCATTATCTGAACAAACAGCTCAATCTCATCTCCGCTGACTGTTGACACAGCTCTCCCAGATAGGGACACACTGCAGAGCCAGTCCTCGCCGTCCTGGGTGGGTACCTCCATGCTTCTGGTCCATACTTCCTCGGTTGTGGTGGTCTTCTGCATCCCACCTCTGGGCACCGGGGAAGAAGCTGCTGTGCCCTTCAGACTCCTGGTTTTGGCTGCCCCTGGCCAAACAGTGCACGTGAACACAAGCAGGAGTGATGGATGAGCATGTTCCTTCTCTTTGGAAGAACCGAGCAGGTTATTAGGAGGAAATTAAATGCACTGATAGTGAAGCCAGGCCGTGCATCTTTTCTGACACAGGTATCGATATCATCTTGGGTTTAATTTACAGATTTCAGGGAGAGATCCTGCACTAGATGTCAGGAGCATTGCAAATGCCTTCTCAGCCTCAGGCAATCCTTCAAGCAGTTGCAAGCTACAAATGTTCCAATGAAGCTGTTTCAACCAGAAAGAACAATTCTTCAGCTTCACTCAAAAACACACAAAACATAAAGAAAACAGATTTACTAATCTGTGATGGTATTGCATGCAACAGCCTGGGATCCTTGACTTCACTGGGACAAATTTCTGCACACATTTGTGTAAGAATCGTTGCATTCCACCAAGTGAGGCATTGCTTCAGAAAACACCAGCTGTGTTTGCACATCTGTGCTCACTTCTTCCTGCTTGCTGGTGCGCAGCCTTCCTTAGATATTTTTTTTCTCCTGTCCGTGTCTGTGAGAAGCTCACCGACTCATCTTGTCGTGTGGGTTCATTTTACTTAGCCCTAATTTTACGTGGCCGTTGTGAACATTGGTGTGTTTGCTAACCCAGCTGTGTATTTGTTGCTCACCTCCCTCATTGTACACCCAACTTCTCTGGTTTTCTTGAGCATGATTACACGATTTGCTGTGTTTGAAACATCTCTCATGCTAACTGGAATAATACCCAGGTACATTGATCGCACTCTTCTCAAATCCTCTTTCTTGGTTTGTTCATTGCAAACTGAAGAACTTATCAGTTTTCTTCCTCTTAAGCATCAAAGCTCTCATTATTTTGCATTAACAACAAAACATCTCTTTGAAATGCACCCTCTGTATAACAGAAATCCAAGCTGGAAGATGTTTTCTTGAAGTAAATACTTTTTTAGCTTCATGCTTCCTTCTGCCAATTGTGGTGTCTGGTGTGTCTTCCTTTACGTTTGCATTCGTCAGTGCTAACTTGAGCTGCCAAGCAGTACTGGAAGCTCTCAGAAAGGGGGAAAAAAGGTAACCTGGTTCAAAAATTTACAAGAGGTTGTTAATCAATGTAAGTCTAAAAAAAACCCATCTTACAATGTCTGGTTTGAAGTATTGTTATTTTTCTAGCTTTCTATGCAGCTGTGAAGGCAGATGCTTCTTTTTAAAATAAAGTTTCCTTGCACCCCCCACAACTCCAGAAGCTGGGTCTTCAAATTGACATTGAACAATGATTTTGTGGCCTCTTGTGATCCTATAACTGATTACCCACGTGTGCAGGTCAGTGCTGAGAACCGAGACCCTGATGTGAGCAAGCCTTGGAGTGGAGAGCGCATCTACCCCTGCCTAGGATCCAACTCTTCCCATGCTGTAAACCTGGCCAGTCAGCGTGTTAAAATGCTGAAACTCCTCTTTAGTAGATGTACTGTTGGCTCTTCATTTCATGTAAGCTCAGTTGTCATGTATTCCTTGTAAGTTTACAGCTGTAGCGACAGTTTTGCTTTTAATAATTTGCCTGTTTCAGAAAGAAAACCCTTTTATTGAATGGAAAGCATGAAGAAGCTCTCGTGTTGAGCGTGGGCGAGGGTTTAGGTTTCATTCTACCCTAAGCTGACCCCTGGGCAGAGAGATTCCTGCTTTCATGTTTCAGATCATGTCTAAAACCTGATGCTGGCTGGATCGTCCTGCATAGGGCAAGAATATCTAGGGAACATGGGACGAGATACGGAGTGAGACAGTTGCAGAAGGGAATGAAATGTTTGGGATGCAGCCTCATGCTTTCTACAGCAGCGAACATCAATCACACCTTCTCAGAAAAGCGTGGCACTGAAAGTCTTCCTTCCCCCCACCCCTTTTTTTCTTATTTCCCTGTTCCCCACTTCTGTTTATTCTCCTTTCCTTCTGATATGCTGTGGCAAGTGCAGTTTTGCCTCAGAAAACTAACTTGTCCTTGAAAACACAGAGCCTTCCCTGGTTTTATTCCTTTGGCCATTGAGTAAGCAAGTTATTTTTGTTCTACCAGTGATTTATGACTGAACAGATTTGGAGTTTATATTTTTAGTTTTATAGGCAATTTAGATAATGTATATTTGCGACCATAAATATTTGGTTCTCTTACAGTTTGTCAATGAATGTTATGCCCAGTTGGAGAAAATTGTATAAACTGAAGAGACACAAGCATTGTGTTCCTACCATAGCCTCATGATTCTTTTCAAGTACCCATATAGGTAATCCTTAAAGGTAGCAGTATTTCGAGCATTTTTGGTAAATCATCTAGGAGGGTGCCATCTAGAAGAAATAGCCTACTTTTCATAAGTGATCCAGATCTTTACAAGGCTTGGGAGTAAAATGCTGTAGCATCAGTGCTCAGAAAGTATTGAACTTTTTTTACCGGGAACCGCATACTTACAAAAAACGACCACCAAACCTCTTTCATTTGCACTGCTTTGTGTTATTTTTTGACTTTTTTATGGAGTCAGTAGACATTTCTTGAGAAACCAGAAGTTTTTACTGAAGAGTTCATTTTGCAAGTTTCAGAAAAATAATAGTCGTTTTTAAAAACATCTAAACTTTTATTTTCCTTCCCCTCATCTCCCCCTTTATCTAGCTTCAGTTTGTGGTAATTCTGCAGGCACAGCCCTTGCAGTGATCCTGGGAAGATAGGTACATGCCACTGCTTGTACTGCTGCTGTCCCCTTCTGTTCAAAAGAAAATCATCTTCCTTTCCACTCCAAATTGCCAGCTTTATTCAAGTAAATAGTAGTTAAGCATTCAAATGTTTTTTCCAGGAAAACAGTAAAGTGTTGGGCACCGGCAACTTGAAAACTTCAACTTGAAAATCCCTGTAACTTAAAACTAATTACTTCTCCTTCCACAAGTATTTCCTTCCCACCCTCCTCCCCAACCACTTCAGAGTGCAACCGTTTCCTTGGTAGATGGGGGAAGGCTTTTTGGAGTCAGCTGGGACTGGGCGTTGGGTGGGATCTGGACCGTGCAGGGATGCTGGGACTCGGGTGCTGCCCTCTTCCAGCCCCCCCCCGGCCCCAGCTCTGCTCTCAGCAGCCCTCCCCATCCCAAAGTGCCTCTCCTCCAGGGACTGAGCCGCAAGCCTCTTGCACGGCGGAGGCAGCACGATGAATTTGCTGTTGCCGCATGAACATTTTATTCCCTCTCCAATTTTCTTTTGACACGGACTGGTGTGACAGGTAGCTTTGCTTTAGGGTGGATAGAGGAGTATGACACCCATTGCATTAACTGGGGGATACCAGACTACACTGATGGAGTTTATTCTCTGAAGCTCCCCAGAATAAAGCGGAAACAAAGGAACAAATTTGATGTTCCTGACTTAAATTCCTTGACATAACCAAAGCAAAGCTTTGACAAAAGCCAGTATTAATTGTTATTTGAAGTCTGTTAGATCATTTTGCTAGTTTTGGTGGAACACCTTTCTGGCGTGATGCGCAGTTTCATAGAACCACAGAATGGTTTGGGTTGGGAGGGACATTTAAAGTTCATCTAGCCCAACCCCCCTGCCATGGGCAGGGACATCTTCCACTAGATCAGGTTGCTCAAAGTCCTGTCCAACCTGACCTTGAACGCTCCCAGGAATGGGGCATCCGCAACTTGTATGGGCAACCTGTTCCAGTGTCTTACCCCTCTCATAGTGAAGAATTTCTTAGTATGTGTGCATAAGTGTGCACATACCTGCAGTATGATCTGGTAGAATAATCACAGAAGTGTTAGTTTATCTGTTCTGTAATTCTTCTCAGGGGCCTCATATGTCTGGGTGCTATATGAACGCAAGAAAAACATAGTCTTTGTTGTAAGGTGTCTACACCTTAAAGGTAAGAGGAGGTATGTAATGGGCATAATGTAATTGTCATGTTTGACATGAAGACCTGTGTGTAAAAAAAAAAGGCCCCCAAACTGTTTTTAGGTGTGGGGGGGGGGGGGGGGAGATGAGGGGTTTTGTAAAGATTCAGTGCTTAAATTTTTTAATGCCTTCCTTTATTTTATTTTAGGTTGCTATCGACTGAGTTGCCAGAACATTGCCCTACAAAGCTTTGGAGGGCCACTTCTTAATGGATTGCTGCAGCCTCTTAATTTCTCCATTGATCCTGTTCCCTGCATCGTGAGAACATTTTAGCCAGCACAGAACCTAGAAAAGTTACATGTAAGTCTTGATTCAAATTCCTTTCTATTTAAAGAAAAAAAAGGAAAAAAAAAGGTCTTGGGGAGGCAAGGTGGAGGCAGTAAACATCATACTTTAGAAGAATACTGTAAAAGCTGTAATTCAACAGCAAACATTAGGTGGTGAATAAATTGTTATTGAAGTAGTTACTTGCTTTTTTAACCTAAATGGTGATTGTCATTTTGAAGGCTTTTCTAAGTGTTCTGCTACCATAGTAAACTATAGCGAGAAGTACTTAAAATAGCTTCTCTTCACCCCATCCCCCTAATTATGCTTCATTTTTCTCCACAACTGGGTAAGCGTTGCTGAAGCCGCACATGCTCCGCGCAAGTTTGGAGGCCATCCTTTGCTCAGCAGGACTGCAGGCATCCCTGTATTTTTCCCATCATAAACCCCATACCCTCCTCCTTTGGGGTTTCCAGAATACTCCCCTCAGAGGAGCCCTGGCGCTGCTTCTCCTTTCAGCCTGCTGCCCCCAAAGGCTCTTTAAACATGAGTAGTATCTTCATTGCAACCTCCAGCTCCTTCCAGGTGGAGTTAGCAGCTCCACCTAGCTGTAGGAGGGTGGAGAAAGCCGTGCACAGACCTACTAGGGACAAAAGGGATTGAGGGGGCTGCAGACCCCTTCCTATCTCCTCAGTCTGGGTAGTAGTTCCTGGTGCGTGTTGTATGCTTTGAGTTTTCCTCCCAAGACGGGGAGGGGCTGTGGTGCTGTGCACACATTTCCTCCTCCATCATGGCTAAACCCTCCTCTGAAACCTCGCATAGCATCAGACTGGCGTGGAATCGGTGGGCTATTCTAGAGGGGAGAAATGGGTTTGACCCTTTTTAATTTGTCAGCGGTTCTAACCCTAATTCTGGGATGGATCTGCAGGTGGAAGAAGCCTCTGGACCATTATAAGGATGGCATGGATGTGGTGGTCTGTGCTGTCCAGGGGGTGAGACACCCCAGAGCTGCCAAGTTTGGAAAAAGGCTCGAGCACAACTTTATCGCATTAATTTTTTAAATAAAACCAGATCTTGCTGGGGTTAGGAGTTTTGTATCTTTCGCATGGTGGTATAGAGCAGCTTGGCAAAAGGCCACCTGAGCCAGAGATAATACAAAATTGTGGTTCACAGTGTGGCACTGTGCATGTTCCTGCCCTTGTTCGTTCAGTGCAGTAACAAATTCATACAACACAGTTTAATGATTAACCAGGACAGGGCAGAGAAGCCGACCGCAGCACTCATTGCTGGTCAGTTTTTCTTGAATGCTTACTAACACCATTTTTAATCTTCAGAACTGATTCGTAATACTACTTCTGAAGAAATAGGAGTATTTTGGAACTGAAGAGTTTATATTAGAAATATACCTTCATTTGAGGTACTTTATTTGCTTATGTGACACTAGAAGTATTATTTAAAACAAGAAAAGTCTATTGCAAAAGGAGGACAAGGTTTTTTAATGCATATGGAATTTCAGTTTTTAAAGAGGAGAAAATTTTCTCTGGTGTGATGAATATCAGCAAAAATAATAGTGAAGTAGTAGGCAATGGAGGAAGGCTGGGTAGTAACAGAATTCGCTGTCAGAGGCCTTACAAGGTGTTGGTTTGATTTTGTTTTCCGAAAAAGGGAGAGTGTTGCTATTTCGTTGTGGGCTTGGCAATATATGCTACAGTTATTAATCAAACCCTGATAGCAGGAATCATCAGACTACAGGAGAATTTTGGATCTGGCTTGAAACTTGTTTCTAGGGCTTGTCTTAAGGGAAGAAAACTTGAAAATGCGAGTTGTAACAGCTAGGCAGGCAGAAACAACTCGTCGTTCATTAGTCCTACTTAGCACCATTCCCATGAGGTTTGGAAGCCTTATTCACACTTTTTTGCAAGCTTTTCTCATGATGTTTGAAAAGCTTATCATTAGGCATCTTGCAAATCCCTATTAAAAACCCTTTCAGAGGAACTAACTTTAAAAATGGCATCCTTCTTAGCACACTAGAAAAAGCAACCAGAAACTGAATGGACATAAATGGAAAAAAACCCCTCTCATTCCAAGAAGTGTATAGGAAGATTTGTCCTGCTGCTTCTTGTGCTGCAGATAATCCGAAGTCCCTGTTTCCATCAGTAAAATCAAGTCTGAGGACCAAATGAACTTGAGTACCAGTGTAAGGATATAGGAGCCGTCATCAAATATGTGCTTTCCTTTTTTTTTTAATTTTTTTTTTTTTTTACTATGGTGCTCGAGATACGCCAAACGTTTAAACCGTGATCTGTGCTCTAACTCCTGGAAAACACGTGTTTCGCCTCGCAGGTTGTTGGCTGGGGTTGCACCCGTTGTGCATGCAGATCTGGGCCGGCAGAGGTAGATGGGAGGGCAAGCTGCCGGTTGCTAACTTAATCTCTCAGTGTTTCCTGCTGTCTGGCTTTTTTGGATAACAAACTGCTTGTAACAATTACCTTGTTATAGCAATTCCCATAGAAAGAAGCGAACTTTCCCTTGTTAATTAGCCCTGTTGGAAAGAGCAGTTGCACAAGTTAACCCAGCTGTTATAACCATATTCTTGTTTTTCCCAGGGTGCAGTGTATTTAGTAAACAAGCATACCTTCCCCCTCCTTCCAATGTTATTTAGTTTGTATAATACTACTAGGATGCTGATTGATGTGATCTCCATAAAAATAATACGTATTGATGTTTGAATTCAAAGCAGAAGGTTTCTTCCTTGTTCTGACGGAGCAGATTGCAAAACCCTGTTACAGTGCATATGTCAAGATGAAAAAAACATTTATCCAGGTCCCCTGGGAATTAATCATGGTTCGACCACGTATGTTATAATGAGGGAGTACAGGAATTAGGGAGAAGCTGTGCTCTTTTCTGAGCGGCTCAGTTTGTTATCCCGAACGATCTCTAATGGCAGCGTACGAACGGGGCTTTGCTCGGGCGCTGGGGACGTGGCCGTGCCTCGGAGCAGATGCTGGGGCAGGGCTGCTGGCTTCCCAGCGGAGACGGGCGGCAATTCCCAGCAATTTCTACGCTCTGCTCACGTTTCTCGCTTTGGTTTATCCCTGTATCTTTTCTTTTTAAAAGAGGGAAAAATAACATCCTAATCAGTGGCATTCTGCGTGTAATACATTGTCCTAATTTGTAATGCTTATGCAGTGTTGAGAATTCAGCGATGGCCTTTAAGTGCTTTGTTCATGGACAAAAAAAAAGCAACCCGAAACTCAGAAACCTCTGCACACAAATTTCATATTTGCTAAGTAAGAGTTCTTCGGAATATTTCAAGGTTTTTAAAATAAGATTTCTTGAAATCTGTCCTTCCACCATCTGTAGGCAGATGTAAATAATGTAAAATTTTAAGATGCAGATTTTGGTGATTAAATGTCTGTCACTCGCCTACCACCACAGCCTGGGAAAAATGTATCTTTTTTTAAATCTGCACTGAAAGGTCAGGTAACTTGATCGGATTAAGAAGGAAGTCAGATTTCTGAAGGTGAAGTCGCATCCCTTTGAACATTTACTTACCAAACACTCCTAAATCTCGGCACCAAACCCACTTCCCAAGTGCCATGGCTGTAGCTGAGGACACGGGTGGTTTTATCCTACGGGATTTTGATGCAAGATGTGGCCGTATCTGGATTTCATTATTTTTCTGGTACGTTTTCCTGTTCGAGGGCCAGTTTTATGGTGGAGAAGGCATTTTCGTACCCATTTTATAGTACCGGCATAGCAGGGCTCTGCACCTCAAGCACCATCGTGTGGAGCATCTCCCGCCCTGAGGAGCTTCACAACCTCCCGTGGCATCCTGTCCCGGGTGTCGCGCTTGCAACGGCCAAAAAGCGTTTTCCTACGATCTAGGGGAAATCTTGTTTGTCCCTAATTAATCTGGTTACTCCTGCTGCCGCCCCCCTGTTGAGAATACATAAAGCCATTGACCACTGCTGGCACTGCATCGGTCCCTCGGTG